ACCTCCTGAGAAAAACATACACCGTTCTTGCTTATCAAACTGCGCAAGATAACTAGTACTGAATGTAAATGAGTCAGCTAATTGGACCAGAAAAAGGTTCACCTTGTGATCTATATCTCCATTTTCAAGTGATTCTTCTTCCTCAACTTGTAAGTTTCTAAAGGCTTCCACGAGGGTCATGGAAGATTTATCAGCATGGCTAGGATAATTTTCTGCAGCTGTGTAAACTCCCCTGTAAATGAAGAATAGTCAGGTTAAAAGAAAGGTATAAGCATCTAATCGTGTAACCGCAAGGAACTAATGATACGCTGCTTGATTACCTTGTCTCCATAGCTTTTGCTTCAACGGAAAGAGCAACTTGCCAATCTTCAAAAAGATTTGAGTACTCCTCAGGATCAGCCAAAGATTCTGCTGCTTTTGAATTAACCTGTAGATAAGTGCAAGGCAACTTAAAACCACAACTTTTTTTTTCTTTGACCCAGAATACGATAAGAAGAAGATTAAAATAACCTTGCTGAGATCTTTTCTCCAAAGAGCTACTATCTCAGAAACTTTGCTCGGAAGATATGATCTTGCCATCAGAGCAGCTTCTGGTATCCGGTTGCTAGAGAAAGAAATATTGTCAGAAAGATGACCAAAGGTGCAAGATAAAGATTTTCTTAACTGCCAAATGAAGATTAATGAATTACCTCTCCACCAATAAGTCCAAGCAATCTTCCAATTTACCAAGCATGAATAGGCAAAGGAAGGCGACATTGTTCTTCCCTTGTTCTTTAGCAAGTGTTGCAAGTTTTGACACACCTTCAGCATCTCCCAGAGATGAATAAAGCAGTAACAAACCACTCAAATCCATCGCATACTTCATGCATTCCTCTGCCATTTGCAGCTGTCATGGTGAAATGTAAACGCAAAGAGTTATGGAAATGCGCACATCAAAGATGAAACCAGGAGACCATAACGTAAATCAAATGCTATATCGTTTTTCTGAAACCTCTTTTTTTGTCTTTCTACTTTCATGACAAATTACAAATCATTAAGAAGAAATGCGAAGAGAAGAATATACCTTCCCAGATGACATGGCCAACTCTCCTAATTGCTTCCACTTAGACTCGCTCTGTACTTCTTCAGCGATTTCCTACAAACATAAAAACAAAAACACATTAACATATTGCCACCACAAAAGAAGTCAAAAAGCATCTTAATCATCACATATTATATATCACCTTTGCAATTTCAAGTCTACCCAGTTGAATGGCCAACTCAAATCTGTAGTCAGGATCTGTTGCAATTTCGAGAGCATCTTCAATCATTCCCCGTGACTCCAAGAAATGAGCAACACTAACAAGTGGAAAATTTTCCGAAATAAATAAAGAGAAATGTCCATTGATAGATGTGCAATTATGTTAAACAGTAGCGTGGGAGTAGATCTAGACACGA